GTGAGTAAGCAAATTTGCAGATATGGAATCTGAATAATGAGCATGCACTCTGCACCAATAGGGGTGGGTGCGTCACACACAGGAGGGCCAGGCACCAGCCTGTGCAACTGAGCAGAGCCCAAGGCCATGGGGATTGGGCACACCTAGCCTCCCTTCCCTTTCTTCCTTGAGGGCCCAATAAACCTTTTCCAGATGCAAATCCCATCTCGCCCACCCGCTCCTAACTTGTGTCCTGTCCTCTGTCCTTCCCCAGTTTTGGGTGAAGATCTCCTTCCCAGTCGGCTGGGCTCCTGCAGGCATGTCTCCAGGGGAACTAGGCCCCCACTGTCTGCCTGGCCTGTTTCCCCCACTTTCCTGGGTTGCAGTTTTATAACTGTACAATTATGGCCCATCGTGTCCCCTCCACCCCAACCACTGAAGGGGATGGTCTTGAATGAAGGAATCCTCTTTTTCTCTTGTGGCAACTCTAGCTGTTGAGTGAACATTCACTGAATAAGTGAGGGGACAGGTAAGGAGGAGAGGGCATGCTACGGCTGACCACGTGGCACTAGGGGACCTGTTTCTTGGGAATCAAAGATAGTGGGCCAGGAGACCCCTTATCCTGACCCCATTCAGCTCTGATGATAGCCTCTGGCCCCAGTCTGGGGTAGGGAGCCTGCCTGTCCTGGGGCCTGGAGTGGGGGTCTAGGGCAATCACTGAAGGCTGGAGGTGGCAGGGAGGATTGCTTAGAATTCTGCATTTGCAAAAGCAATACTGGAATGTGGTAAAGGCAATTCACACTAGTACTCAAGAGGTTTGATGAAAAGGACGGACTCCTCCCAAAGCAACCACTGTTCCCAGTTCCTCCTGTGAAAATCCTGGCTCTTTCTCTTGCTGGCTGTGTAACTTCTTGGCATAAGACCTAAATTCTCGGGGCTGCAATTTTCTCATCTGTAAAATCGGGATATATAATGGCAAGTACTTCATGGAATCATTGTGAGAAATAAATAAATTAATATATGAAAAGACTACTGCTTGGTATATGGTATAAGCAATGTCTTACCTGTTATAAGCATGCAATATACTATACATGCATATCTGGTACAATACTATGCACCATATGTATAAAACTAGATACACATGTAGGTATTGTGTAAACACACATCCCTCTCCAGTGACATTTTTTTAAATCATTTAGAATCCTTTCATTGTAATATAAAGTGTGAAGACAGAGAAGGCATAAAAATATATTAACTCAAGAAATTATTATAAGGCAAACATACCTTGGTCAAGAAGTAGAATCTTGCCAGCAACTCCAGGAGCTGCTTCCAGGTATCCCATCCCAGTCACCGCCCTCCCCCCTTACCTCCAGCGACTAGTCTAGTTCCTTGTTCTGCATCTTGCTTCCACTGAGTTATAAACTTTGGAGCACTTTTCATGTGAGCACATGCATATTTAACTCTGCCTCTAAGAATCTGCTGTGTGTTACTGCATAGAAAGTATGTACCAGGATTTATCTACCCTTAGGACTCCTGCGCTATCTCCTAGGTTTGTTGCAAGTTGGTGGACAGTTTGTAACTCTCGAATACAACTTTATATGCATAACCTGTAACACATCCGCTAAGAATTTACTCTATCCAGCCTCCAGCGCTGGGGTAAACGGGCCACGTCCCAGGAATTAATGGTGGTTATGGCAAACGTGCACCCCCCCTCCCCGGATGCACAGGCAAGGGACCCAGGGAAAGGCTGCAGCAAGAGAACTGGCTGGGGAGCGACCCTCGGCCCTTGCCCAGGCTTGCAACTCCCGGACCATCCCAAGGGGG